CATACATACATATATATATATATATATATATATATATATATATATATATATACACACATACACACAGAGAGAGAGAGAGAGAGAGAGAGAGAGAGAGAGAGAGAGAGAGAGAATTAAGGCCTGGCGTGGTAGGGAGCCTGAAGGCTGGGGAAAGGAGAGCCGTCCTCTACTACGTTAGGAGCTTCAATTAGAATAACTGAATAATCAAGTGGCATCTGTGTTCTTAACATTTCCCAGAATCGTGGACCCCCGTGGCATTAGTGGCAGCCTGACACGCTCCGGAGATAGTTTTAGAAGCTCCCCCCCCACACACACACAATGTCTCCGCTCTAGCTGTTCAACAGTTGTTGGAGACCAAGTGTAATTTGCAAACACTTCTGGGGCTGGTGAAAGTTTGATTCTCATTTGAATACCTAAACAAGAGCAAAGGAGAAAAAAAAAAACCAGGGAAAAAAGCAAGCCAAACTGAGAAAGTCATTATTTCTCCAGTGTCTTGTCTACTCTCAGAAAAAAACAAACGACAGGTGGTAAGGAAAGAAACTTTCTGAGCATCCCATCCTCTCAGGAGGCATCTGAAAACCAGTTGCCAATTTCCATACAAGGTAGTCCTGGACTTACCACCATAATCGGGACTGTACCTTCTCTTGCTAAGAAAAATGGTTATTAAACAAACTGCACCCAATTTTTGCTGCTGTAATTGTTTAAGTGGAATCACAAGGTTGTTAAGTGAATCATGTGGTTGTTAAGCAAATCCAGTCTCCCCCACCCCCCTGTTGGAAGCCTGTTGGGAAGGTTGCAAATGGTGACTCTGGGATACCACAGCCATGGTAAAAACATGGTAAAAACATGCCAAATTTTGACCATGAGAACTTTGTGACAGTCATAAGCGCGAGGACCGGTTGTAAGTCACTTTTTTTTTAGCACTGTCTTAACTTCCCACCGTCATTAAACAAATGTTTAATGTGTTGAGGATTACCTGTATTGCAACTGTTGGAAGAAATATCCATCTGATTCAGTTCCAAGTCAGGAGAAAGACACTGGAAACATGGAGGCTGCTTGGAAAAATAGTTTAATGATGAAGCGCAACCACCAAGCACATGGTTCTGGGCAGCTGACCACATGGAGTCGAGTGTATGTGTGTGTGTGGGGGGTGTTAATGCCTTCTCTTGGACTTTGCCCTTGAGCTTCCTGTTCCTGTGCAAGAACATGTGTTCTATTGGCTGTTGTAGGGATCATAGCTGGCTCTGTAGGTTGTCTGAGCTAAGTTTCATTGAAGTTTGGACTCAGATGATGCAATGAAGAGGCTTTGGGCAATTCCTATTGTGGCTGAGGGCTCATCCTACCTTTGTTGGCTCTTGGGTATTTGCTTATGAGTAGACCTATCCATATCTTTATCTCTTAAGTGCTGGCATCTGCTGAGGGCTATTAAGAAAGGTGGGGGCCTGCTTTCTGTCTCCAAGAGCATGTTTCCCCCTTTAGGGAAATATAATATTCTGCCTTTTTAATATTTCCCATAAACATTTCATTCTTTTTAGCACCGTCCTAACTTCCCACTGTCGTTAAACAAACGTTTTAACGTAAGTCAAGGGCTATCTGTATTGTACAAACCGAAGCCGTTGCTTTCCAAAACGGAATCCGCTCTGTCACGTTTCCTGTTAATATTTTGATCAATGTACTTAAAGCTCCCCAAATAGCGATTTCTCACAAGATCATTAAATGGGCCTATAAAGGTTTCCTGTTCGTTGAGCATCCAGATCTCCCTGGGGAGTTTTTAAGCTGACAATAAGAAAAACCTACGCACGTTTGAACAATATTGTCTACCAATCCTTATTGGCCTCTTTGGAGCAATTAACGATTGGTTGCTTCGTACTTTTAGACGTTGTTTCTGTTGCTATTGAAATATGTACTTAAGATATGAGGCAGATTGTTGTGTCTGTGTGTGTCGCAGTTTATATATTTACACCCATGTGGGGACTCAAACCTACAGTCCTCGGCTTAAGACTGGTTGTCCTAAAGGTTGTTTGTTGTTTCCCCAAGAGGCAACTGGACTTTCTTTACTTGAAGACGTTTCGCTTCTCATCCAAGAAACTTCTTCAGTTCTGACTGGATGGTGGGGAATGGAAGGATTTATACTCCTTGCAGACAGCTGGTCATTTGCATTCTTTTTGAGAGTCATTGAGGCCACTTGGAGGTTCACCTGTGCCCTCAGGGTCACCTGAGTAGTGCAAATGGGTGTGGAGCCTTCTTGGAACTGCTGAAAGTATTGTAAACAGGAGAAATAGAGGGTATTGTATCTCTCCCCCTCGGTGGAGGGGAGGCTGTTGAATTTTAACATAGATGGCCTCCTTGATCCCTCTTTCAAGCCAGCGGTCCTCTCTGTCCAGAATGTGGACTCAGAGGTATTATTCAGCAGGTTCTGACCAGTTCTGGAGAACCGGTAGCAGAAGTTCTGAGTCGTTCGGAGAACTGGCCAATCCCACCTCTGACTGGCCCCGCCCCCATCTATTCTCCGCCTCCCATTGAGTCCCAGCTGATTGGCTGGATCTTCTTTGGTTGCCCTGCCCAGGAGAATGGAGCTGGAAAGCAGGCTAGCGGGGTGGAGAGGGAGTGGAGAATTTGAAGTATCCTTTCCATTGTAAAAATGGTCGTAAAATGGAATCTGGTCATGTAGTGCCTTGACGTGTGATTACAACGACTTGCAACCAAAGTTCTTGGCTCCATTGTTGTAGAATAATGTTAATTTTTAGTTGGGATGGCCCAGTGTGGATTGAGTTGGGATGGCCAACTGTTGCATTGTGGAGTTAAGTCTACTTCCATTTTAAATAGTTCTGAAGAAGTTTTTCCTAGAGGTAACTATAAAAAATTAAGGACTACTATAATGGCCCATCCTTATTCTTGGATATTATACGGAGGGAAAAGGAAACATGCCAGTTTGAGTCAGACTCTTCGTATCTTCATGCAAAATTCCTATAAATCTTTAACGTCCCCTATGCCAGTTTTCAGTTTTGCATGTCATACTAAATCTGCAGTGACATCCGTCTGTTGAAAGGAATTAGCAGTCTCTCGCTTCCTGAACCCAGTTCTCCCTTTGACCTGTCCAGAAGTCTTCTTTCAACCCCCACCCTCCAAATTTTAGCACAGAACACGAATAATGCATTTCCGAATGCAGATTAAAATTAGGTTCAGTAGCTGGGGAATTCTGGGAGTTGAAGTCCACAGGTCTTAAAAATTGCTGAGATGGAGGAACACTGCCATAATCAATTTGGGAGGAGCCGGTGTGAGTTTTATCCTCGGGCTTTTGGTTTTTACCCAGGTTTTAAAGCATGCCTTTGTTTATATAACCATCATTGCCTCCGGCTAACTTCTCCAAAGTCATCTGTGCAACTGCCAGCAGAAATCCGTCGGAAACGTAGAGTCAGTTCTGCAAATTATTTTTTAAAAAAACAACCTTTCCTTAAGCTGGTCTACCAGCACTTTCTCCATCCTTGGGCTTCTTTCCAGAGATTTCTTGCTTCTGATACGCTGTGAAGCAGAGGAACCGAAGAACTAAATTGGAAGAGGCTCGTATTCATGGCGGTGCCCCAGTTTGTGCCAATGTAAGCGTAGCCCACGGCTGGATAGCGCGGTTCACTGTGGTGTTTTTTTTTTGTTTTTAAATAAAGTTTGGAGCGAAATTGATTTTGAAAGGTAAGGACAGGGGCTGTTTCTAGGAGAAACTTTTCCAAACCAACAGAGTTTTTGTTAACTCGCTGTGCCACCTTTCCTCCTATCAGTGGTTGTAATAGGTAGTCTTACAACTGATTGCTTAGCTACTGTTTGAAATGATGACTGACCTGGAAAAGAGGCTCAGATTCCAAGCTCAGATTCACAGTTTTGATGATCTGGTCAGAGGTGGGTATTCAGCAGGTTCTGACCAGTTCTGGAGAACCAGTAGTGGAAATTTTGAGTAGTTCAGAGAACTGGCAAATATCACCTCTGCCTGGTGATTTGACAGTATCCTCCTTCCCCTGCCACGCCCACCAAGCCACGCCCACAGAACCGGTAGGAAAAAAAAAATTGTATCCCACCACTGGCATGGTGCCTCTGCCAGCGAAAACGGAGCCCTCCCCCCCAGCACTCCATCTTCGCTGGCAGAGGGGCTAGCCAAACAAACTAAAAAACAAAATGAAAGAAGAAATGTTTCTTCCCCTTTTGCATTGGAGCATGGAAGAAGGGACAGGAAAGGAGAAAGGGAAAGAGGGAAGACAAAGAGAAAGATGGGAAGAGAGCAAGGAAGGAAAAGGAAGGAAAGAGGGGAAGGAAGAAGAAAGGAAAAGGAAGAGGGAAGGAAAAGGAAGGAAGGAAGGAAGGAAGGAAGGAAGGAAGGAAGGAAGGAAGGAAGGAAGGAAGGAAGGAGATTATAAAAACAAAACGAAAGGAGAAATGTTCCCCCTTTTGCATTGGAGCATGGAAGAAGGGACAGGAAAGGAGAAAGGGAAAGAGGGAAGACAAAGAGAAAGAAGGGAAGATGGGAAGAGAGCAATGGAGGAAAAAGAAAGAAAGAAGAGAAGGAAGAAGAAAGGAGAGGAAGAGGGAAGGAAAAGGAAGGAAGGAAGGAAGGAAGGAAGGAAGGAAGGAAGATTATAATGAGAGGGAAGGAGGGTCTGAGGGAAGTTCTGCCTTAGTACTTGGCCACCACAGTTGCCCCCGACACGAGTGACATCGAGCTAGCCATGCTCCTTGAGGTCAAACACAACCCTGATGCGGCCCTCAATGAAATTGAGTTTGACACCCCTGCTCTAGCTGTTGTTGAATGACAACTCTCAGTGGCCAGTAAGGAGGGATATCGGTAGTTGCCGTTCAGAACATCTGGATTTCTGTAGGCTGCCTGGGGCCCTGTGATTGCCACTTCTGTCTCCAGGGGAGCCTTTTTTGGCTTGTACCTGGACGCGCATGTTAGCGTTAACGATTTTAACTTGCCAAGCCGGGTGAATTCAGGCTTCTCTCCTCCCTTCCCTTAGGATGCAAAGTTCGTGGAGGAACGTCGGAAGCAGTTGCAAAGCTACTTAAGAAACGTGATGAACAAAGTCATCCAGGCTCTGCCAGAATTTATCGCCAACCCCAAAAAAGAGACTCTCATCCAACTGATGCCCTTTTTCGTGTGAGTATCTCTCGAAAAAGATTGATTGTTTTTAATGGGCGGTTGAGTGGTATTTTACTTCCTTCCTTAATTTATGAAGTGGGGAAAAAAAAGAAACCACCTTTGAGGAGGACTTCTGTGAGGCTGTCACAACTTGGAGTGTAATTTAAGAGGCATCCTTCATCCAGCACAAAAAGGTTTAAATGTGTTTTGAGAGAGAGAAGGGGGCTTAAAAACAATGACAATGGCGCTACTTCATTTGAAGTGCGATTGGATTGCGTTGATAGCAGTAAATAGGTCTTTTAGCGATGAATAGAATTGTAAGAGAGGGGGGAAAAGGAGCTCTCCGTTTGGAGGAACGGTGTTGGAAACAATCCCACAACTTCAGGAATGGGGGAACATCCTCTTTTTCCATGGACACTGTGAAATGGAAAGTTTGTACCTCCCATCTTGGATTGTAGAAGTCATCCTCACCTAGCGACCACAATTGAAACTGGTAACTCGGTCACTAAGTGTTGTGTTGCCAAGCAAAACGTCGTGTCGTTTCAGGGAGGCTTATGTTCTTCTTTGCCCTTCAAATGTTAAGTGAATCACTGTGGGGCATTAAGGAAACATCCCAGGACTGCATCTTATGATTTGATGCCTTCTCTACAAGCTGGTAGAGAGTTAAATGCTTAGTTAAAACAACTCTTGTTTTATTTCAACGCTGGGAATTATTTTTATTCCATGGACTATTTTTATTTTTATTCCCAGCCGGTAATGAGTCCCAAACAGTCCCTCAAGATAAGCACCCACCTTTATCTCCTTTGAATTGCTGCCAACAACTCAGGTGCTAAATTAACTGTAAAAAAACCAACCGAAGTCCAAAGTCCGCACAGAGCTTCAAGGATTAATCTGAACAGAACAAATGACTTTGCTTCCTGCAAAAGTTCGTCTACCTTTGCATTCTCTTTATCCCTTAGGGGAGGGGCAATCACCTCCCAGCCTTACTCCTGAGTCGCCCCTTCTGCTTCAGCTGCTTTCGCCTTCTAGCAGCTCTGCGCATACGCGCACCGGGAACAGGCTCCCCTGGGTCCTCTGCCTCGCTGCTGCCAGACTCCGAAGGCTCCAGAGGCATCACCCCACTCCCAGATGGTCCTGGTCCCATCTCTGCATCGGTTGCAGGACTCTCATCTGAGTCCTCCCCAGACTTCCAGACTGGTTCCCGTTCTTCCCCACTGTCCGATTCCGCTGCCGTCTGCACAGGCTGCCGGCGAACCACAACATGACTAGCTTTGGATATGAGAAGCTGGGAAGTTCCCTCACTACGGTATTCCCTCAACGATGGCAAAATAGATGGCAGGGATTATTGTTGCTATGACCGCATTGCTTAACGATGGAAAATTCTGGTCCCAATTACTGTCGTTCGACAATTGATTACCTGCAGACTGTAGCTATTTGCATGCTTAATAAATTTGTGTTGTTGTTTTTTTGTATCTTCCAAGTGATTAATGGTTTTAAGCCAGCCAGGCTACCACAGGTTACTGGGAGGAAAGGTGAACCATAAATCTAACGGACAGTCACTTGGAATAAGTTACAGCAAGGTGAAAATCCTCACCTCTTCCCCTGTTTAATTGGAACGCTTTGTTCCAGGTAGCACATTAAGAGCAGGCAAAACCATTTGGCTGAAGAATGGAGAAGGCTTCTGTTTTTGAAGGCAGCCTCTAGAAACAGAAGTTTAACTCCCGCAGAAAGGACAGGGAAGCGTGTTTCAAGATGCATTTCTTAGCACCCCGTCAGCTGGTGTTTTCTGGCAAAGGAACTTCCATAATCTTCAAGATGTTCACATATGAGTTTTCATTTTAAAGCAGAGCAAAATACAAATATCCGAATGTTTGAAGCTGGGTGTTTTTTGTTTTTTTTAATGAGCTGGCTCTCGATATCTTACGTCCTGATTTTTTGTGGAAAATACCAATTTGCCAGTTCTCTTTTAAATCTCAGCGTGTTTCTTTTTTGTTTCTTCAGCCTGAAAGAATCTTAACTGAAAAATATGACAGCTTTTAACTCAGGCTTATCATGCTTTTGATATTCTGGGCTTGTCATTGCAACCTGCTCATCAACCTGCTCATCATCATGGTTTAAGAACCCCCATAATCCCTTGCAAGGTGGAGTCTGGTCAACTGAATGGAGCTAGCAGGGTGTTTACTGGCCGGATGCCATTCCTGTTGCCAATGCAGAGTTTTGTTCGGCAGATATATTCTCATTGTGCCTGGAGAGAGAAATATCTGTCTCTGCCTAGGATCGAACTCACAGCCCCCTGATTTTGAGGCGAGAGCTCCACCTCTAGGCCACCACCGCACCCCTCCTCATTGCAACCTGGACAATGACATGGATTATTTGTTTTTTTTATGTCAGCTTTCTCTGACCAACGGTTTCCACTTAGATCAACACACTTCACGCCCTTCCCAATATTGGCTAGGATTTTGTCTCTCACCGGGGGAGAAGATCATAAGTAACCATTAACGTCTCTGGATCCCAGTCTGTTTCTCGGTATTGATGCAAGGTTTGTAACCCAGAGTTGTCGTGTGTAGCTGGGGAATTCTGGGAGTTAAAGTCTGCTCTTCTTAAAAATTACTAAGGTTGAGAGACACTGTACTTGACAACACACCTTCTTAGTTTGTCAGTGAAGTCCAAAGATGGGGTACGGCAAGAGAAGACTCATTGGGGGGATTTGAATGCCTGGCAAGCTCACTAAGAAAGGGCTCTAAAATGTTTTGGCCTGTCATTTCTTCAAGGACTTTTTTTTTCTTTATATATTCCCTTCTAGGGATTATTCCACAAAAGCTTTAGGAGGAAGGATACTGCATTAATTTCCTTGTATTGATTTAACCTGTTAATCATTTTCAGTTGTGCATTAAATTATTATTAAACCTTTGGACAGTATAGCCAACCCAGACTTCCTTTCCTCTTCCTTTCCCTTCCCTTCCTTTCTTTTCCTTCCCCTTCCCTCCCCTTCCCTTCCCTCTCCTCTCCTCTCCTCCCCTTCCCTCCCCTTCCCTTCCTCATCCCTTTCCTTCCCTCCCCTTCCTTTTCCTCCCCTTCCCTTCCCTTCCCTTTCCTTTCCTTCCCTTCCCTTCCCTTCCCTTCCCTT